GACATGACCTATTTAAATAATTTTCATTCTACAAAATCTCTAACAAACGAATTCTGACCTAGTCTATTTTTCTCTAACAATTCTAAACGTAGTTTGCATGCAAAGCACTCACACAAGCTTGTTGTGGAAGGGAACTATTCAAACTGTTGTTGTACCACTTAATATCCTATATCTGACTTGTTACTCGTTACCACAACATCTTTGTAATTTCTTTTTAAGGAATTTGCGTTCATAAAGAACTTAGTAACATAGCGAAAATAGACGTCACTCTACCTTTTAGCTATCATTATGCTCTCATACGAGTTATAAAAATTCTAGAAATGAGCTACTTAGGTCATTCAATAAGTTGTTAAATCTCTAATGCATGACGCCTTATCCAGTAATTGTTCTTCTTTTTTGTGTGACATTTTTAGATACTAACAAAATTAAACAACCCAACACGTACTATGAATGCTCTAGTAATGTTCAAACTATTCAGATTGTTGTTGTACTGCCTAACGTCTACTTACTTCGGAAATCTTAACCGCAAGTCAAAGTTCTTTGATATAATATGCAACCCAAAATTAACGTCACTTATGACTTTAATGCTCGCGGATGAGTTCTTAAATGTTAAGAAATGAACTATTTATATTAATAGCGTACCCTCAAATATCTAATAAGTGGACGTCTTCCACCCGTGCATTTTTCTAAGTTCTTCTTATCAAATTTGAGGTGATTTTTCGCGTTTAAACAAAACCTAGATATCAGTTATCTAAATAGTTGTCATACAGATTAATCTCTAGTAATTCTTATTACACCCCGTTAGTTTTCTGTTATAATCACATTATTAACCCTCTTTGCTGTTTTCCTCAATAGGAACTCTAAAAGAAAGTTCTTCAGGGATATCAAATCCCCTCTAAACTAGGTGTAAACTCCGAATAAACTTAACATTTTCCATGGAAATGAGCTTAAACATTACTTTTAAAACCAGTGAGGTGTTCCTTATCAAAACAGTTACACAGATATATCGTAATTAATAATGGAAAGATCAGCATTCAGGATAAAATATCTGATCACATTAGGAGCATAGCCAGCTTTTCGACTTGTCGTTGGCCTAAACCCTAAGAAAGTTCAGTTTTTGTTTCAAAATCTGCACGAGTGATGTGATAAAAGTTAAGAGGTACAAGGACTCTAGGCTGGCTACACCCCTGATATTGTTGTGTTCCGTCTTGAGCTATCCGACTTAACTGTGGTGTAGCAATCATGGTCTTTAGAAATACGCTAAAACTAACAGACTCAAAGTGTTAGGTAAATTTATATGTTACAAAAAGAAACAAACAAGCAAACCAAAAACGGTCAAAACAA